CAGAGGACATCCTTGAGCAGGGAGCTGACATTAACTCACCAGGCGAATAGGATCACATCATGCAGGGTGAACATGGGGGCAGTAGAGGAGTAGAGGGCAGTAGAGGAGTAGCAGGCAGGAGCACCGCTTTGCAGGGGTTCAGGATGGCCTCTCTGAGGAGGCAGCACTTTAAGCCCTGCTTCACAAGGAGGAGCCAGGGTGATGCAGGGTCAGGGTGGGAGGCCCAGAGGCAGGCCCTGAAGCAGGAGTTGGGTTGGTGGATGTGGCTGGAAGCTAGTGATGGCAGAGAGAATGGGGTGGTGGCTAATGAGGCCACTGGGGTAATGGACCAAATCCTGCAAGATCCTGCAGGTCACAACTGCATTCTGAACATATGGTAGGAAGCCATGTCAGAGTTTTGATCAAGGGAAGTGAATTTATATTTTTAGAAGACTCTGGCTTCTGTGTCAAGACTGGATAGTAGTGGTATAAGAGTGGGGGGAGTGAGGCCAGTGGGAGGCAGTGGATCCAGACAGCACTGGGAGTGGGAAGAAGTTAGGGAGCTGTATAACTTTGATGGAGCTCCCCAGAACTTACCTTGAGACAGTAACCAGATAAGAGTATTCTGTATAGTAAGTAGTTCAGTGGCTAGTGTTTTAGTTATCTGTTGCTACATTATAAACCACTCCAAAACTTAGTGGCTTATGATATCTCTATCTTTTTTGATTCTGTGGATTGACTGGGCACTACTGGGTGGTTCTTTGTTTAGTGGGCTGAAGGCTGGGGTCACTCATGTGCTGCATTAACCTGGAATCTAGTTTGGGACTGGAATGACCAGGAGAGCCTCTCTTCTTCCAGAACCCATCTCCCTGTGGCCTCTAGTCATTTTTTTTTTTTTTTTTTTGAGACAGAGTCTCACTCTTTCACCCACCTGAAGTGCGGTGGCACAATCTCAGCTCACTACAACCTCCGCCTCCTGGGTTCAAGCTATTCTTCTGCCCCAGCCTCCCAAGTAGCTGGGATTACAGGCATGTGCCACCATGCCCAGCTAATTTTTGTGTTTTTAGTAGAGATGGGCTTTCACCATATTGGCCAGGCTGGTCTTGAACTCCTGACCTCGTGATCCACACCCCTCCCCGCCGCCGGCCTCCCAAAGTGCTGGGATTACAAGCGTGAGCCACTGCGCCCGGCCTGCCTGTAGTCATTTTAACTGGTCAAGTTGGACTCCCAGGAGGGGAAAGTGAAAGCAAGCTACCAATTGTCTTAAGACTTAGACTCGAAAGTCCCAGAAAGTTACTTCTACTACTTTCTGATTGGTCAGAGAGCGGTTCACAAGGTCCATCCAGCTTCAGGGGTGGGGAAATTGACCCTACCTTTTGGTATGGGGAGCCACTTAAGCCTATAGGGATGGAGGAATTGATAGTGACCATATTTAGAAATTACATACCACACTTTTCAGTTTTACTTTGAAATTGACTTTAAACATTGGTAGAATTCAGTTGACCTTTGAAAATTTTGGTGTCCAGTTTGGGAAGGTATGAGAGCAAATTTTAAAGGAAGGAATCTTGATCTTTTTTTTTTAACAAAGTTATTTTCTAGTTTAAGAGCAAACTGATTCTACAAAAACAACTCGGGTTTTTAAACTTCATCCAACCCTTGACAAACAGCTTTATAAATGTGCCTTTTAATCTTCCATCTGATTTCTTTGCTATAAAGCCCTAATTGCACATGTTCTGTTACTACATGACTAAGAGCCCTGGAGCAGCAGTCACTGAAGAACAACATATTTCCAGTCCAGCTCTTGGGGTTTGAAGGGAAATAAATACATAAAATCCACCAGGTCTGTTAGGATACCTTCCTGGGGAACAGAGGCCTCATCCTCACTGAACCCCTGGTAGGACCTCTCTGCTACTGAGATTTATTTTAGGGATAATAATCTATATCACTCTCACTTTTGTCAAATTTATTCACTGAAAAAGAGATTGCATTAGTCCATTTTCACACTGCTGATAAAGACATACCTGAGACTGGAAAGAAAAAGAGGTTCAGTTGGACTTACAGTTCCATGTGACTGAGGAGGGCTCAGAATCATGGCAGGAGGTGAAAGGCACTTCTTCCATGGTGGTGGCAAGAAAAAAATGAGGAAGATGCAAATGAGGAAACCCCTGATAAAACCATCTGATCCCATGAGACTTACTCATTACCATGAGAACAGTATGGTGGAAACTGCCCTCATGATTCAAATTATCTCCCACCAGGTCCCTCCCACAACATGTGGGAATTATGGGAATATAATTCAAGATGAGATTTGGGTGGGGACACAGAGCTAAACCATATCATTCTGCCCCTGGACCCTCCAAATCTCATGTCCTCACATTTAAAAACCAATCATGCCTTCCCAACAGTCCCCCAAAGTCTTAACTCATTTCAGCATTAACCCAAAAGTCCACAGTCTCAGGTCTTATCTGAGACAAGGCAAGTCCCTTCCGCCTGTGAGCCTGTAAAATCAAAAGCAAGCTAGTTACTTCCTAGATTCAATGAGGTACAGGTATTCGGTAAATACAGTCATTCCAAATGGGAGAAATTGGCCAAAACAAAGGGGTTACAGGGCCCATGCAAGCCTGAATTCCAGCAGGGCAGTCAAATTCTAAAGCTCCAAAATGATCTCCTTTGACTCCTTGTCTCACATCCAGGTCACACTGATGCAAGAGGTACGTTCCCAGAGTCTTGGGCAGCTCTGCCTCTGTGGCTTTGCGGGATATAGCCTCCCTCCTGGCTGCTTTCACAGGCCGCCATTGAGGGTCTGCAGCTTTTCCAGTTGCACAGTGCAAGCTGTTAGTGGATCTGCCATTCTGGGATCTGGAAGATGGTGGCCCTCTTCTCACAGCTCCACTAGGCAGTGCCCCAATAGGGATTCTGTATGGGGGCTCTGACCCCACATTTCCCCTCTGCACTGCCCTAGCAGGGTTCTCCATGAGGGTCCTACCCCTGCAGCAAACTTTTGAGTGGGCATCCAGGTATTTCTGTACATCTTCTGAAATCTAGGTGGAGGTTCCCAATCCTCAGTTCTTGACTTCTGTGCACCCTCAGGCTCAACACCACATGGAAGCTGCCAAGTTTTGGGGCTTGCATCCTCTGAAACCATAGGCTGAGCTGTGCCTTGGCCCCTTTTAGCAACAACTGGAGCAGATGGAGCACAGGGCACCAAGTCCCCAGGGTGCACACAGCATGGAGACCCTGGGCCTGGGTCTTATGAAACCATTTTTACCTTCTAGGCTTCCAGGTCTGTGATGGGAGGGGCTGCCATGAAGACCATTGACATGCCCTGGAGACATTTTCCCCATTGTTTTGGGGATTAACATTCAGCTCCTTGTTGCTTATGCAAATTTCTGCAGCCAACTTCAATTTCTCCTCAAAAAACTGTTGTTTCTTTTCCACTGCATTGTCAGACAAGTTTTCTGAACTTTTAAAACAGAATGCTTTTAACAGCACCCAATTCACCTCTTTTTTTTTTTTTTTTTTTTTTTAAGGTAGAATCTCACTCTGATATCCAGGCAGTGGTGAGATCTCAGCTCACTGCAACCTCTGCCTCCTGGGTTCAAGCAATTCTCCTGCCTTGGCCTCCCAAGTAGTTGGGATTACAAGTGTAGCCACCACACCCAGCTAAGTTTTGTATTTTTAGTAGAGACAGTGTTTCACCACGTTGGCCAGGCTGGTCTTGAACTCCTGACCTCAGGTGATCTGCTCACCTCGGCCTCCCATAATGCTGGGATTATAGACGTGAGCCACCATGCCTGGCCTTTAAGTCAACTTTTGAATGCTTTGCTGCTTAGAATTTTCTTCTACCAGATACCCTAAATCATCTTTCTCAAATTCAGAATTCTACAGATATCTAGGGCAGGGGCAAAATGCTGCCAGTCTCTTTGCTAAAACATAATAAGAGTTACCTTTGTTCCAGTTCCCAACAAGTTCCTCATCTCCATCTGAGACCGCCTCAGCCTGGATTTTATTGTTCATATCACCATCAGCATTTTTGTCAAAGCCATTCTACAAGTCTCTAGGGGATTCCAAACATTCCTGCATTTTTCTTTCTTCTTCTGAGCCCCCCAGGCTGTTCCAGCCTCTGCCTGATACCCATTCCAAAGTTGTTTCCACATTTTCAGGTATCTTTTCAGCAACACCCCACTCCTGGTACCAATTTACTGTATTCGTCTGTTTTCACACTGCTGATAAAGACATATCCAAGACTGGGAAGAAAAAGAGGTTTAATTGGACTTACAGTTCCACATGGCTGGGGTGGTCCCAGAATCATGGCATGAGGCAAAAGACACTTCTTACATGGCAGTGGCAAGAAAAAAATGAGGAAGATGTAAAAGGAGAAACCCCTGATAAAACCATCAGATCTCATGAGACTTATTCACTACCATGAGAACAGTATGGGGATAACCACCCCCATGATTCAAATTCTCTCCCACTGGGCCCCTCCACAACACATGGGAACTATGGGAGTGCAGTTCAAGATGAGACTTGGGTGGGAACACAGAGCCAAAGCATATTAGAGATGTATTTCAGAAACTCTGTATACAGTAGTAGTTGGCCCTGGTGGCTCTTTGGTAACAGAGCGGTCGTATGATATGACCCATGTATGTGTTACCTACTTGATACTAGTGCTGGTTAATATTTAGTGAATGGGTTGGAGACATAGTATAGACAAAGCGAAGCCTAGAGAAGCTGCAAATCCGGTGTTTGGTCCTGCATCTCACTCACTCAAATGAGTTAAAAAATTTTTTTAATGACCTCAAAATTTTTAAATTATTATTTTGATTTTAAACAGCTGGGGTTTTTTATGTCTAGTTTCATGCAAAGGTGTCTACAAACTTTGTATTGAAGTTTGAGTTTTCCAAATTAGTAATTCAAAAAGACCTACTTTTTGACACATAAAAATATGCTGATTATATACGGAAATTAACCAATCCTCTGAGTAGTTTTATTTCTATATAACCAGTGTTTCTTTCTCATAGACGTCCTTGCCATCCAGGAAGGGATTTCGACACCAGACCACCAAGTTTTTGTATCGCTTGGTGGGATCAGAAGATATGGCTGTGGACCAGAGTATTGTCAGCCCTTATACCTCTCGGATCTTGAAACCTTATATCAGGTATATGGAGAACTAGAGGTGTGATGTCAGGTGTGTCGTGAGGGATAATGATGGCGGTTTCTGTGCCCTATTCTCCTGTTGGAGAGAATAAAGATCACAAACTGTGAGCAGCATTGTCAAGGACTGAGGTCTGTGCTTCACCTCCATTTTCTTCCTTTGTTTCAACTCTGCTTTTTTGCAGAGAACATGGTCCTTTGAAAGAAACTTAAAAAGCAAGAATAAATTAACTGAAAGATTGCTTTGTGATGATCATAAACATTATTTTATTTTATTTATTATTATTTTTTGAGACAGACTCTTGCCCTGTCACCCAGGCTAGAGTACTGTCGTGCGATCTTGGCTTATTGTAACCTCTGCCCCCAGGGTTCAGGCAATTCTCCTGCCTCAGCCTCTGGAGTACCTGGGATTACAGTCGTGCACCACCAAGCCCAGCTAATTTCTGTATTTTTAGTAGATACAGGTTTTACCATGTTGGCCAGGCTGGTCTCAAACCCCTGACCTCAAGTGATCCACCTGCCTTGGCCTCCCAAAGTGCTGGGATTACAGGCGTGAGCCACCGAGTCCGGCCCTTGTTATGTTATTTTGAATACTAAAGCTGTATATATTTTTAGTGGTCTGAAATGAAAAACTATGGAAGATGTCTCAGTTGAGCCTCCATTTGGACTGGATGTATATGGGACAGTTTCCAATAATGCTCTCATTGTCCAGGCAATGAAATGGAAGCTGAGCTTGCTAGAGAGGTCCCAGCAGTGTCTGGCACTGTCATTGAGAGCACATTATTGCTTTCGTTACACTGCAGTTGCCCTGCAGCTTCATGATCACCCTGACCCTCCATGCCGGCACCACATTCCTGGGCAGGCACAGTGAAAGGCAATTTATGAGCTGCTCCAAGCTCACTTTGTCTCTCAAACTACCCCACAAAGTTGGGTATTCTCCCTTCTGGCCTCCTAGGCACTGGAAATGCAGCCTTGTGTCTGACTCCTCGGGGTGAATCTGATGCAGTTTCTGTTTCCTCACTTTGTTCATTAAGGCACCTGGCACAGTCCCTGGTAGGTACAGAGGGCTTTGGCCTGATGAATGTTCAGAGTGAATTTTAGATGTCATACCATAAAAGCATAGCTATAATCAATCCAGCTTCTATGTAAAACAGTGCAGGTTACTTTAAAGTTTCAAGCAGATCAAAGAGTTTAGAGTCAAAAAGCTAGGAATAATACCAGGTATTTTTCTTGACTTGAATTTGTTTATCTTCTGTGGTATCGAAGGCGTGATTATGAAACAAAGCCACCCAAACTGCAGCTCCTGTCACAGATTCGTTCCCACCTGCACAGGAGCGACCCTTGCTGGACGCCGGAGCCCGATGCACCTCTCGATTACTGTTATGTGCGGCCGAATCATATCCCGACGATCAACTCCATGTGTCAGGAGTTTTTTTGGCCTGGTATGTTCCCCCTCCCAAGCCAGGAAGGTCATTTCTTCTGTACAGTCCATTCTAGCAATTTTTTAAATTAGTGTTTGTGGTATCCTTAAGATTTTTACTCATGATTTCATTTAGTCTCTGCTAACATAAAAATATTAAAATACAAATACCTCTTGCTTTCCTAAAATCTAGAAGAAGCCAGCAATAAACAGTGTTTTTGTTTGTTTCTCTTCCTGTTTGTCTCTACTTCCAGAGTAAAAGATTCATCCTGTTTTGCTTCTCCATATATTTAGATACCAGGTAATGTCTATCAAAGGTACACAGATTGGCAGCTTGGGCGTGTTTGGACACTTTTATTTTTGGCTTAATAATTCTTTATGTTTTGTTTATTTAGCTGTTCCTTAGAGAGTGTTAGTACAGCCAGAAGGTGTTTTTTAAAAGCCAACTACCTTGATCACAGACTGTGAGAATAAGGGTAAACCCAGTATGATTTGTCATTTTATCAGCCTTAACAAAATTGCTTGTGAAGACCAAAGTCATTAATTAAAAGGACACATTTTCATTGCTAAATATAAATGTGTTTTTTTGTGGATCTGCTTTCCCACGCTTCCTTGAAACCTAAAGGAAATAATACATGTTTTCCAGATGTTAGATACGATTTCATCAAGATTAGAGCTGTGTAGTCTTTACTGCCAGATAATCACATAACCGTGCATGTGGTGGCAGAGCTGCACTCATTCTTTTGGGAGTCATATTTAGCCAAAAGTAACATTCTGGGAGCATCTCCTGCTTCCTGCCCTTATGTTAGGTGTCTTCCATACATTATGCATAGAACCATTTTTTACTTATCTATTGTGAAAGGCAGCATTTGTACAAAAGAGCTTATAAATTACACATGTGCGGGGTAAAGGATATGATAGAACACACTCAGGGGATCTTCACTCAACCTTGTCAGGTCTAGGTGTGCTCTTCATCTTACACAGTGCAGAAACAGAGTCCTCAAGATATTTTGAAATGTGCCAAGCCACACATGGTAGAGGAGGCTTAGATCAAAGCCAGCTGTGTCCGATTCTGAACCCGTGCATTGCTACCTACCCTGTTTTGCCACTCTTCTTTTAACATATGTACTTAGAAAATACTATGTTAATTTCGATATTTTCTAAAATTCACTCTTATTTTTATGATCTGGATGTGTGGTATCTATGGTAATATCTTTACCTCCAGTTTTGGTGGTTTTTTTTTAGCATGCAGGTGTAGCTATACATACATGCTGAACAGCTTGGTGTTCCTTAATTCTCAAAGGCATGCGGTTTGAGTCTCTGATCGTTTCTTTTCTTTAGGCATTGACCTGTCTGAGTGTCTGCAGTACCCAGACTTCAGTGTGGTTGTTCTCTATAAAAAAGTCATCATTGCCTTTGGCTTCATGGTTCCCGACGTGAAATACAATGAAGCTTACATTTCATTTCTGTTTGTCCACCCTGAATGGAGAAGAGCAGGGATTGCAACTTTCATGATCTATCATCTGATTCAGGTAAGTTGTCTATATTTGTGATTTATCACCTGTATCTGAACAGGGGAGGAGGAATGAAGCTGAGCTAGCCCTTCCCAGTGTGGCCCAAATTCCTTGGAAACCAAATGAAGAAAGCCAGTCATCGACATTCATGGTATTATTAAAGCAGACAGACAAAACTCTCCAGTTTTGTCTAAATAAGGTAATTATTCAGAGCCAGGTTTCATGGAAACCAGTTTGTGAACATGTGTAGTAAATAAAACGGGAAAATGCCAAAAGCAAGATCTTTAGGGTGTACTATTCATATTACTAATAGTGACTGCTCAGGATCATCACCTTCACAACTCAGAGAAGTGAGAGTAGGACTATTATTTTTATTTTTTTAAGTATTTGTAAACATTTTAGCACAGCTGTATCAATAAGAATATATATTCGTTTTATTTTTCTGAGGCGGGATCCCACTCTCACCCAGACTGGAGTGGCACAATCACAGCTCACTGCAACCTCAGCCTCCGGGGCTCAAGTGATTCTCCTGCCTCAGCCTCCTTAGTAGCCAGGACCACAGGCGTGCACCACCATGCCCAGCTGATTTTCTGTAGGGACAGGGTCTTGCTATGTTGCCTGGACTGTACTTGAACTCCTGGGTTCAAGCAGTCCTCCCATCTCAACCTCCCAAAGTGCTGGGATTACGGGCAGGGGCCACCGTGCCCAGCTACATATTTTATTATTACTGATAGTTTTTAATTTTACTATCACTGTATAAGGTTGATATGAACCTTCTAAAATTTGATCCTAATATTGAATTGTAATTTATCCTTTGATATATTTGTATTACCTTTGAAGAAAACATACCATACACCAACGTGCAAGGATTTTTTTCCCTTAGAATTTTTTTTTTTTTTTTTTTTTTTTTTTTTTTTTTTTGAGACGGAGTTTCACTCATGTTACCCAGGCTGGAGTGCAATGGCGCGATCTCGGCTCACCGCAACCTCCGCCTCCTGGGTTCAGGCAATTCTCCTGCCTCAGCCTCCTGAGTAGCTGGGATTACAGGCATGCACCACCATGCCCAGCTGATTTTTTGTATTTTTAGTAGAGACGGGGTTTCACCATGTTGACCAGGATGGTTTTGATCTCTTGACCTTGTGATCCACCCGCCTCAGCCTCCCAAAGTGCTGGGATTACAGGCTTGAGCCACCGTGCCCGGCTATCCCTTAGAATTTTTTTAAGTCAACTTTTACTTAGAAACCATTTGGTATGGAGGATTATATGTTACGCAGGCAAGATTCCTTTTAAAGTGAAGATGAAGATGATAAAAGTTGTTTCTCCAGTTTTTTTTGTTTCTCCATTTTTTAATGAAACTTGCTTAATAATTCCCAAATGTTGGCAGGAACCTTGAGAACCATTTTCCTAGAAATTGTTTTCTTCTCTCCTTAGGCAGTGACTATGTAAATCACCGACTGAGTAATTAATATGTGCTACTTTGTGGTGGTGTTTCTCTCTTGAGAATTTCTCAGTTATTTATACAACACTCCCTTTCTCTGCCCCATCCGACCCAGGAATTGATCTCTCAGTATGCATCTTTTTAACCTAGGGAGCACTTAGAGGATTTGCTGCCTTATCTATCACTGGTAAGGGTGTGAAGACAAGACAGGAATAGTAGTGTGTGTGTTGGGGGGTGCGGGTGAGAGCTGGCACAGAGTCAGTCCCTGCTGAGTGTTGGTGAGGCCAGTGGAGGAGTGCTTCATCTTTGCAGGTGGGCACCTCTCCCCAGCCAGACCATACACCTGAGAGCCCAAACATAGGCAGCACACAGTCGCTAGTACTCAGTGATGGCCACGGTGAGATCACATGTACTTGCAATCCAGCAAACACTAACATGACCCCACAAAATTTGCTTTAAAAACTCACAAAATGCTCTTGTCCCTGGCGTACTAGTAAGTGCTCTCTTGTTCTAAAAATACCTATTGATACACATGGAAGTTAAGCAGAGAAAGCAAGTAGCTATCAGATGACCCTCAACAGAGGAGTTCTTAGAGGCCTGAGAGAACCATGGGTTATAAATCTCAATGATTGTATCAACTTCAGTAGGTTCTTAAATTCTGTGACCTTTAGGACACCTTACCCTCTGTAGCTGATTAAAGAATCAAAGGACTTGCCTTGTGTGGATAGAATGATTGTTACTCTTTTCCCCTAAGATTAGGTCAAAGCTGAATGTAGAAATCTCAGTTCTAAAAAGCTAATTCTGTCAGTTTTGGAGATGGAAGGTGGACTTTAGGATTCAGAAGGTCTATGCTTCAGAGGGCCCCAGGTTTTATAATTACAGTCTTGATATTTCATGTTTGTGCATGTAATTTAGCAGGTCTAGTAAAAGAATTTTTACAGGTTTTGAGGAGGTACAAGATAACATCTAGTTTTAAAAAGCAAAACTTATTTTGTTCTGTATTTATTCAAGGTTATCATAGTGTTGGGTATTGAAATGTTTGACATATTTAAAGGTAATTGAGTTATAAATAATAAAGTTCACAATAATTATATCCCCATTGACCCTTTGCTTCAAAGAAAAATTTTTAAATGCCCAGAATACTATCAGTTTCCTTTGTCTTGTGAATGTTTTGATCAGCAGCAAAATGTCATTCTGTTTCCAGCTGTTGCTAGGTGTTACAATGTCTCGGCCCCAGTCTCTGATTTCTCTGGTTTCCATAACTAACTGCCTACACTTAAAAGTGCTTCTTCACCTACTCATTTTCCCTCAGGCTTTTCCATTTTTATCTTGTATTTTTCCACTCTTTTGGCAGACCTGCATGGGCAAGGACGTAACGCTTCACGTCTCAGCAAGCAACCCCGCTATGTTACTGTATCAGAAGTTTGGATTCAAGACTGAAGAATATGTATTAGATTTCTATGATAAATATTACCCATTGGAGAGCACAGAGTGTAAACACGCATTTTTTCTGAGGCTCCGGCGCTGATGTGAATACAGCTTCCCACAGAGAAATGCATGCATTATTGGAGAACAGGTCTTTGTGAAGACCCAAAGGCAGTGATTGATTTCACAGGGAGCTCTAGTCTTCTCTGTGGTTACATGGTCCTTCAAACCTCCCAACCAAAGTGAGAAAAGTGGCATGCAGTGAAATACAGTGAGCAGCCCTTTAGCAAAATCACCCTCCAGTCCTTCCTGGAGACGCCTTCAGACAGCATCTCAGACTTCACAGTTAAATGAACAATGTTGTGGTCCTCCATCCGCCTGACAGCTTGTAATAGTGAAACCACCTAACCTGATGCTCTTGGAGAGAGATTACCTGTCTGTCCTAACCTAAAGAATGAGAAAATGTGGGTAGCTATTAAAGATTCATGCAGTCCCCAAAGGCACTGTCGTGACATGGGATGATGAGAGATTATGAGGTGATTTCATAAAAGGAATCCAACCCTGTGCCCGGCCATTGATGTATTGTCATTGAATCCAGGAGGATTTCTAGGGCACTGAAGTTTTGTTGTTTCTTTTGCTGACTTTGGTTACAGTCAGAAAAAATAAACTAGTTGTTTGTGTCTACATGTTCTACCTGTTCTACCTGTTAGCATCTTCCTGCAGGGACTTTGGCCCATGGCGTGGGAGGTTGGTTTGGGATTGGGGTTGTTGGGCAGCCTGCCATTCACCTGGCCTATCCTGGCCCTTCTCATGCCCAAGACAGTTGTTTCCTAGGAGTGGAGGTGTGGGTGATACAAGTAGAACCCTCTGTAGATGTACCCTGTATGGTCTGCAGGACTGGATTGTTGGTTGTGTTTGTGGCTGTTGGAGATAGACTGTCCATCAGGTTGTTTGTGATCCAACGAGAACATTTCCAAAGGTATCAGATGTTCTCAAATAAAAAGCTTTCTTTGCACAACCCATGACCAGAGCTTCAATCTAGTCAGTTTGCTTTCAGACCCTCTTAATTAAGATCAGTGGTTCTTAACATTTTGGGATATGGATCACTTTGAGAATCCAGAGAAAGCTGAATACTCTCTAGAAAACTGTCATGCACATTTAAAATTTTGCATCAGGGATCTGTCAACCACAAGTTAAGAACATGTGTTCTAAAAGCTGTACTTGGAGCCAGCTCAAATTCCTTTGTGTGAGAGAGAATGTGTTGAGCTCCCACATTAAGACAATCTGGAAGCTCTTTAGTCACCTGAGGAAACGGTTGAGGCGCCATTTCATTTGTGAGAGGAACTGTAGCAGCACTGTCTCATTTCTTTCTTTCTTTTTTTTTTTTTTTTTTTTTGAGACGGAGTTTCGCTCTTGTTACCCATGCTGGAGTGCAATGGCGCGATCTCGGCTCACCGCAACCTCCGCCTCCCGGGTTCAGGCAATTCTCCTGCCCCAACCTCCTGAGTCGCTGGGATTACAGGCATGCGCCACCATGCCCAGCTAATTTTTTGTAGTTTTAGTAGAGACGGGGTTTCGCCGTGTTGACCAGGATGGTCTCGATCTCTTGACCTCGTGATCCACCCGCCTCGGCCTCCCAAAGTGCTGGGATTACAGGCTTGAGCCACCGCGCCCGGCCTTCTTTCTTTTTTCTTTACCTCCCACCCTGCCTCCCAAGTTCTCCCTCTCTTTGAAAGGTTTTTGTTGACAGAGTGGATTGTAACACCACGAAGTAAAATTGAGGAGACAACATTTCCACATCTGTAAACCAGCTTGCGATTGTTGTATGTGAATGTCAGGCATTTGTTGTTGCAAAGCGAGGGGGCTCAAATTATTGTCTCTGTAACTTCAAGGAGCTCAGGAAAGCTGTGATTGCTGTTACTGACTGTGTCACATTTTTTTAAACTATGAGAAATTTAAAAATAAATCCTTTTCATTTCTTTTTTCTTTATTTTTTACTTTATTTTTTTACATTTTGAGATAGGGTCTCACTCTGTCACCCAGGCTGCAGTGAAGTGTCACTGGTGCAATCTCAGCTCACTACAGCCTCCATCTCCCAGGTTCAAGCCATTTTCCCTCCTCCACCTCCTGAATAGCTGGGACCACAGGAACACGCCACCACGCCTGGCTAATTTTTTTTTTTTTTGGTAGAGATGGGGTTTCACCATGTTTTCCAAGCTGATCTTAAACTCCTGAGCTCAAGTGATCTGCCTGCTTTGGCCTCCCAAAGTGCTGGGATTATAGCCATGAGCCGCAGCACCCAGCCTATGAGAAATTTTAATCATACGCAAAGAGAATGATGCCACAGATCCCATCACCCATATTCAACAATTGTTGAAATTCTGTCTCATTTGCTTCATTTATCCTTTTGTTTTTTTGCTAAAACATCTTAAGGTAAATTCTAGATGATATATAATTTTACCACTGCTTACTCAAATAGGTATTTCTAAAAAATAAGGATATTTTCTTAAATAACCTCAATGTGCATTATCACTCCCCTAACAAAATGAACACGTTTAGAATAATCTAGTAGTCAGCCTGTAGCCACACCTTTCAAATTGTCTCAGAAATTCCTTTTACAGTTGGTTTGTTGGGTCAGCAGCCAAGCAGGGTCCACATAAGTGACTTAACGGTCTTGTCTCCACCGCCTGTTCGTCTAGAGGGCCTCCGCCCCATTACTGCCCTGCCACTGACAACATTGATTGTTCTGTGGCACGTCTCACATGTGGGTTGTCTGTTGCATCCTTGTTGTGTTCTTCATAGGGCAGGACTGCCTGGACAAGGTGGGGAGTGGACCTGTGCTTACCTCTTTAGCTGAGGGTGGGGACAGCTGAATTTCCCTGCCCCGCCCCAGTCCGTGCTTGGGTGCTAGGGCAGGGCCATTTTCCAGGGGTAGGCTTGGTGGCCACTGTGTGTGAGGCAGCCGCTTTCTCTCTGGCCTTTCTCCTGAGCTAGCCCTGTAGCAAACCCTTGGCTAGTCCTCTAGAAGTGAGTCTCCGCAGTGCCAGGCTTGGCGCTGGGTTGCAGAAGAGCCATGTTTTGGTGGATTTACAATAAAAATATACTGTGAAGTTTCAGAATTTCATGTAAGGAGGAAGGCTTGGTTTTTTTCATGCCATGAAAGTGAGAATGAGTTCTGACAAGCTGAAGAACTTAGCCTTCAGTTGTGTATTCCTGACAGAGTCTGGATTGTCTCCTAAGAGGTGGCCTGGGGTAGCCAGGTGGGCCTTCAGGATACTCAGGGTGGTATAGGAATTCTGATTAATTATTGTCCATATTTGCCCAGTCTTTTTCTAGGGAGATTGAGCTCCATTTACAGCAGGATGTTTAAGAACCAGAAACATAATTTTGAACTTTCTAAAGACAGTTAATGTATTTTTCATAAAGTTTCCGTCACCTAAAAGCCACACTGCCTTGGGACTTTTCCTGGAACTGTCTCCTGCAAGCGGCTTGGTGTCTTCACTACAGCCCTGGGAAGAATCATCCAGGTTGACCCCCACGGTGAGGGGTTGTGTTACACAGTATGGTTAAGGATATCCTTCAGGTATCTAACGGCAGAAAGTTGCAGTAAAAACATAATGTACCTCAGTACTGGGAATGGCCAAAGGGTCATGAGGCTCTTCATTAGTACACACCTAACTCACATACTTGTGAGTTCATTAGTACATACTTGACTCTGAGAAATGGTTTACAGTTATTTATGAGAAACAAATTCACAGTCTTAGTGAATGTCATGCTTCAGCTTCCTCATCTGTAAAACCAGGTTGATAAGACCCACCTCACAGATTTGTAGTGACAGGTTACAACAAGGTCAAGAAAACCACTTGTGAAGGACCCGACCCTGAATTCTAAGCCAGGGAGTCTGGTGCCACAGTCTGCAGCCTTCCCTGCTCGGGCTAAGCCTTGGGGAGGGCGCTGGGAGGTGGCAGTGGGGAGTTTAGGGGCTCTGTGTGTCTGGCTCAGTACTGCCCCTAGTGCCCGGAGTGGTGCCCAGCACAGAGCCAGTACTCCACACACTGGATGAAGGAGGGAGATAATGAACTGTGTACCAGGAGTTCAGTGTGATGAGAGGTAATGCCTCAGTAATGCCTCTTGTTTTATTCATTTTTAAATGAATAAAGGCATGGAATCTTTCTGTTTATCACAAATCATAAGTGTTTCTTATTGCACCCAACCCCTTCTCTCTGCCTGGATAGGTAAAGGCAGCTCTTAGCTTCTTAGAACCTTACAACATTATATATAGGTTACCCCATGCCAGAGGAATTTCTACAAAAGTAACCAAATACTGCAGTAAAATTTCAGTTATATGAGCTAAAGGAAAAGACTGATGGCTGCTTAGGTAAGAGGCTGGAAGGTGGACAGTTTGTGTTGTCACAGATGGAATGGCTCCAGGCAAGCCTACGTGTGTAAAGGGCAGCTGAGTCTTTCTCTGTAGCTTTGCTGCTCATATAAGGTGGAATTTTATTGCAGGTGACATCAGAGCATGGATCTGAAAGGCCACTGGCCCAAGCATGATGATGAAGTCACTTAGAAACCCAGGAGACCCAAAAAGCATCCGGTCCAGCAGAGCAGGTCCCAGGTACGTCACATGTGAATCCCCTCAGCCCTTGGGACAGCCAGAGCCCCTAGGGGTTTGTCTCCATTGGGTGTAGTCAGTAATGTGCTGGTAAATGTCTGACCATAGACTGGGGGTTAGGCGGGAAGAGGGGGAGCAGTAAACCAAGCCCTGATTTGTAGTGTTTGCTGATTCCCATGGTAAAATACTATTGCTGTGGCCAATTTTCTATTTCTTTTTCTTTCTTTTTTTTTTTTTTTGAGACAGAGTTTCACTCTTATCGCTCAGCCTGGAGTGCAATGGCAAGATCTCGGCTCACTGCAACCTCTGCCTCCTGGGTTCAAACGATTCTCCTCCTCCTGAGTAGCTAGGATTACAGGCGCCTGCCACCACACCCAGCTAATTTTTGTATTTTTAGTAGGATGGAGTTTCACCATGTAGCCCGACTGGGCTTGAACTCCTTACCTCAGGTGGTCTGCCCACTTCAGCCTCCCAAAGTGCTGGGTTACAGGCCTGAGCCACTGCGACTGGCACCATGGACAATTTTCAAGCTACCAATGTGATGTCACTAAACCCAGAGGCAGAAAGGCATGCACGGTAGCCACTATTATATTGTATTTCGATCACACAGAAAGAGTAGGTGGAAGTTACATCAAGAGCACAGGTAATAGTTACAAGCAGATAATTGTCATGTAGTAAGTTGTTTTGTTTGTGTCTTATAGAGATAGGGTCTTGCGATGTTCGCAAGGGTGGTCTTGAACTCCTAGCCTCAAGCAATCCTCCCACCTCAACCTCACAAAGTGCTAGGATTACAGTCATGAGCCACTGCGCCCAGCTGACATTTAGTAAGTTTTGAGTGTTTATTTTAAATATGATTGATTTAATTGTATATAATTTAACTTTTAATAATGACTTCGGAAAGCTAACCATCAGCTCCTGCATGCAGTCACCTCAGGGCTGGGCAGAATGGGGTCTGATGGCTTGCCTGGTGGCCCCACAAGCAGCAGACGTGAGCAGCTTCTGCAGTTCACCACCTGCTGCCCACAGTGTCAGCCTGGGTAAGGATGGAGCTGCCAAGGAGTTCCTGTGCTG